GGTCCCACTCAGAGACTCCCCGGGGCCTTTAAACCACCACCATTATAAAAATCACCGTCACCATCACAGCAGAGAGAACCTGCACAGTCTGAAGGACGCTTCCCTGCCAAACAGGTAGAAAGAACACAGGCCAACTGTCTCTCTGGGTGGTGACCAGTGGGCAGATTACCAATGGATTTTTTTTTTCCGTAACTGTATTTTGTAAAGTTTCTTAAAGAGAGAAAATAGGTACTTTTTAATAATCACAAAATATTGCAGACTCCACCATTAAACAGCCCGAAAGGTTACTCCCAGCCTTCCCACAATCAGACCCCGAGTGCAACAGGGTCATCAGCAAGAATGGCAAAGCCCCAACGGTCAGCAGAGAGAGACACGGGGCAGCCAGTCCGACCTAAAGTGGATGGCCCCGAGGGAAAAGAGAAGGATCACCTGACAGGAGGGGCCACATCATACGCACAGTCTTAATTTCCTTTTTTTTTAAAGCACTGACTTTATTTGATTTATTGATTTTAGAGAGAGGAAGGGGAGGAAGGGGGAAGAGAGAAAGATCAACTTGTTCCACTTACTTGTTTTGCATTCATTGGTTGCTTCTTATATGTGCCCTGACTAAGGATTGAACCTGCAACCTTGGTGTATCGGGATGACACCCTAACCAACAGAATTATCTGGCCAGGGCCATGGTCTTCATTTTCTTAGCCTCACCCTGCCCTGAAATCTAAGGGATCTAAGACTGAAATTTCCTCTTCTTGAACAGGGTAGGAGCAAGCAACGGAAGAAATGGATTTTTGTCCCCAAGAGCAGGCAGCCGGTAAGAGAGGTTGCTGCTGTCTCCCTCTACTTCACAAAACCCTGCAGGGCACCTCCGTTTTCGAGCATGAGGAGACCGAGGCTCAGGAGAGGAACTTGCCTAGTGTCAGAGCTATGAAGTAGCAGCAACAAGACGAGAACTGAAACTGGCCTGCTCCAGAGCCAGGATCCTTTCCACCCAGCTAGCTCCCTCCTCTAAAAAGCACCCTCTTATGTAAGGAGCCATGACACGTTCTGACTGCGCTGTTCTCAAACCACGGCGGCTCGCTGTACATATTGAAAGCAAGAAAAGAAACAAGAAAAGCAGCTGCCAAGAAGTTACGCTGCTGTCCACTCTGTCTCCCCTGGAGCAAGGAAGGAGGCAGTGAAACTCGATTCACATGACCCACACTGTCCTTCCAAGTAATCAGTCCTGCCCTTGAAACCACGATCACCACCCTTCCCAGTGGGGAGCTGGCCCACGGCCTTCCCTGGAGAAGCTGCCGGCCCACTCGCATCGGATCTCTGCATTCAGGAACACTAGCTTTGAGCTTTTCACACTAAAAATAAGGAGGAGTTCGTTTCCACCTAAAAACGGCAGTTGCCAAGGTGATGCCACTACCGCACGGTGACTAAAACACTGGCTTTGCAGTTACCTCGACTCATTCCTCAGCTCTGCCCCTTGAAACAAATGTGGGAGCTTAGGCAAGTCAAGTCGACTTCACGTACAAAACAGGCACGACAGACAACTTCTCCATAGAGGGTTAATGAGAGAGCCTCGTGCCTGAAGCCTGACACACAGGAGGTGGAAAATAAACGATCGATACTATTATTAACAGCGGCGACACTCTCGTGCCGTAGCAGTCCTGGAGTCTCGGAGTCGTGGTGAACACCTGGTCTGAAGGCCTGACGGGCTGATGTTCCCAATCAGCGGGCTGACTCCGGATACCTGAGCCAGCTGAAATACCGATCCAGTTCAGCTCGGTCCACACACATCTGCACATGCCAGTTCAACTGTTCCAAAAAATGTTGAGGGTTTGCACCTAGTTTAAACTGGTTCGCATTTTTTAAAGTGTACACTTAGGTTTTGGCTAATGCCAGAGTTTTATTACACACACACACACATACACACACCCCTGGACTTTGTGGTTCAGCCTGGATTTTTTGCTCACAGGTCTGCTTGTGACAACAAGCTCCTTGAGAGCCAGTACCGAGTCTGTGCTGTTCCTTTTTATATGATCGGCACCAGCACAGGCCCTGGCACATGCCAGCTGCTCGGCAGACAGCCAAGGAATTCAATCTGCACAAGAGCCACTGCGGAATCCCACCAGCTTCAAGATCCAGAAGGCTCATTTCGGCAAAGGGAACGCAATTCCCCGCCCTCTCTCCCACAGGTATTTGGCAGGTAGTTCTTTTTTTTTTTATTTTGAAATAAATAATGACTAAACAAGCTGTAGACCAGACTGTCAACAGTAAAGATTTCACAAACAAAATAAAGACGGGAAAAGTCTAGAAATGGCAAAATTCCAGGGTGGAATTTTGGAATCGGGCAAATCCAGGGTTCAAACGCCAGCCCCACCACTGCACAACTGAGTAAATATGACCTGGGGTCCAATCACACACACTGTCCGAGACTCACCCTCCACGTCTGGAAAGTGGGGATAATAACACCCACCAAACACGGTCATCACAGAGCTGACGTGTGCGAAGCACCAAGTACAGCTGGTGGTGAGCGGTTTGTCTGTTTGGGTTTTTTAACAGCTTCATTGAGGTCAATGACTTTCATTTTTAAAGGCGTCTCCATTCTCACCAACAACAGAAACTAGAGGGACGGCATTAGGCCCAAAGTTATCTACATCTTTACTCCTGCTTTTCAGAAAGTACATTAACTCAGCCATATAAATAGGCTCACTGGCTAAAGTTGCAGCTGTCTCGGGGGATCCAGTGTGATCAGTTTAAGGGGGACCCCTTCAGGCAACTCAGGAGCCCAGGTGAGGTCAAGCGGGCCCCTCGGCAGGCTGTTCCCTCTCACTGGGGCCGCTGAGAGGCTCACGCAATGTCAAGCAACAGGAGTCTGTGTGGTACCCGAAGACACAGCACACAGGCAACCGGCCTGCTCTGAAGGCTCGGACCCAAGCGAGTCACTGCAGGTCAGCCCAGGTTAGAGGCAGGAGATGGAAAGGAGCAACACAGGTGTTAAAACACTCTGCAAAACCAGTGAGAGGAGAGAAAGGAAGTCTCCTGGGTTCGTTCATACATGTTGACTTTCCATTCACAAGTGGAACAAAACAGAGCAATGATTTTCTCGTTTCAATCAGCTTGGTACATATTTCATTTCATACAGTAAAGAGGGAATAAAAAGCTAAGCAAACAAAATTCCCTACACACCTCGAAAGACAATATTTGCTCCGTTCACATTGCAATATTTCACCTTATTTCAATCCAATCAAGGCAAAGTTTCCATTTTCTTCTCTTAAATGATTTTCTCTGGGAGAGATGAGTCAAAGACAAATTTTTAACACATTTGGGTTTCCACTTTCAACAAGGTAGGAACCCATGCTTCCTCCCACTCACCCAACCTTGTGAATTCTCCACACCGTTCAAAAATATATTGAGTGATGCCCTCCATCGGCCAATTACTTTAAGTGGGTGCAGTAAAAAGAACCTGCACTTCCAGGGCTCATGAACTACTAGTACAATTCTCCCCTACTTAAATTTCTAGGGGGAAAGGGGGAGGAACTGGGTCAGCCCACTAAAAAAGCAACTATAACATCCAAGTAATAAGCATTTCCAGAAAAATAGAGACAAAGATGTACGCTATGACTATAACGCAAATATCCATTATTTAGCACCAAGGAGAGCACATGCAATAATGCCAGCCACTTCAAGAACATTTCTGTTAAAGTTACACCGCATGCAGAGAAGCTGCTCTCCCAGAGACCAATATACGCTGCCCTGGGGCCTCCCTGAAACACCTCCTCCCTGGGCCCGGGGATCCGGCACCCACCTTTTTACATGACTCTAAGACAACTGGACCCTTTACTGAATTCTCTAATTATGCTGGTGACATCACAGTATGATAGTCTAAAGAAAGCAATTTGAATCAATAATCACAGCAATGCTAATCAGAATGTTTGCCAACAAGTAAATAAAGTACACAATCCCAATATGAAAGAAGTTTTCCTCCTTCCTGGCTCCCCAGCTCCGTTTAAAGACCGGAACACGAACAGAAAGATAACCTTGAAAACAGTCCAGTCACCCCTGACGTCAGCAATATCATCCCTCCAACTCACTTCCTGGTTTTCCCTGTGTTCCCCTAAAACGGGCGGCCCCGACAGAATGCCAGGGATCCAATAATGCTTTTTAAAGATATATCAAACTGTCTGGAATATGCAGCCATGAAAACTGAGTATTGCCACCGAAACCGTACTTAATCAAATGCATGCTTTCTCTAAACACGGCTTCCCCAGCAAAGCCACAACGCTTTCTGCCTTGGCACTCCGAGAATCTGCCCCGACCATGGAGATCGGTCCAGCTGTACTCCTGTTAACAGTTTCTTGCTTTCCCCCACCCCCAGAGCAACCCCTCCCCGCTCCCCCCCACCCCCGAAACGTTTTACTTTTATCTGTGGAATTCTCTGCCGGCCTCGGCCTGGAAAGCTGGGTGGGCCCCGAGGACAGGTGTGAGCTCTGGCCTTTGGGACTGACAGTTGTTGGCAGCGTGAAGCTGTGATCTTTGTAAACTTCAATTTGAAGCTTTCTACCATTAGCGATTCTCTCCCCCGCTCCTTTTTTGAAGGAGGGAGAGAAAGCAAGCCAAAAGGATGAGTTTCAAAATAGGAAAACAACCACTTTAATTATAAAACCCTCCCAACTCAACAAAGAACTGTTAAAAGTAGCCAAATGGAAAATGTCAGGGGTTTTTGGGCACATGCACAACTCTTAAACATGAGAATCACAGCTTCAAGGGGAGGGGGGGATTAACAGCAGGAGCAGAAAGAGGAGCAGAACAGGGCCCAGCCGGAGACCCATTTGCTCAGAAGGGCCCTCTTGGTCCTAACGCCTCCATGTGGGGCACCCAGGCTGGAGGAAAGCAGAGGGTTACACAGAACATTTAGCAGACTTAACATTGGATTAAACACACTACTGCAAGTTTCAACAAATGTTCATGGCATACGTAAAAAACACATTTACAACAAGAAAGAAGAGAGGCACCTGGAGACATCTGACACTGGGCATGCTCTGCAGGCAACTCAGTGCGCACATGCTCTCTACCAGGTTGGCGCAGCCTAGCCACAAAGACCTTGGCACAGAACACTGCAGGATGACAAAAAGGAAGGAAGAGAAGAAGCAGTTAGAGGCCGCAACAAATCACTCCTTCACACAGGCAACTTGAATGTTAGTGGGGCAGGGGGAGTACCCTGGGCGGTCTGGAGGTCGGGGACGGTGGTCGCAGGCGCCTTACTGAAACCTTGGGGGAGGGCCCACTCTCTGTCCTAGTCAAAGGTTCCTGCTGCCAACCACTAATCCTCTGGATACACGAACAGTATCAAGAGGGAGAGAAAGAATGATTAAATGACAACCCACTAAAGGCAGCTGTGCAAAACAAGATTAGCGGTGAGACTGTGACTACAGCTTCATGAAGTGAGTCTCTGGTCCAGGTCACACAATTATTATTGCCGTCCGTGCATCGCCTACTATGTGCCAGGCACGTTGAGTGTGTCCCCTGAACCCCACGCCAGTGTCAGGAAGCCGAGGCTCAGAGGGTAGGTCATTCACAAGGACACGCAGCAGACGGAGAGCGAGAACTTCAAACCTCGGTCTGTCTGCTATTAAAACCCACATTCAGTCCACAAGACTGACGCCTTTTTTGTAAAACCTTTGATCATCTGAATTGGTGTCATGTGGTTACAGTTTTGCACTTCCCTAAATAAAGTCACAGGAAACCTAGAGACAGAAAGCAAAAGGAACAAGAAAGACGAGTGATAGGTTGATAGATACAAGTAATAAAAAAAAAGCTGATTAAAAACATCTTGGTTTTCAGGATCACCCACATCGTTGCTTTCCCAGGACACACTTAGGAATACACGATCTGCATCTTGGACTCTGGTTACAAAGTTCACTGGGCATGAGCAAAGACTAAAAGCTTATTTCGTTTACCTATTCCCATTCTCTTTCAAAACTTGCTGGTTTTCAGGGACTTAAAAGAGAGAAAGGTAAAATATAAAAATAAACACACATTATGGCTAGTATTTTTCAATCATTAATTATCCATGGTATTATTCACGAGTACTTTGTCCCATGTAAGGTCAATTGACTGACTATGGCAAAATCAATAACCATGCAAAAAAATGTAAAGGTGGATGTTTGGGTTGAACCAAAATATTCCAGAAGTCTTCGCCCCAACCTCACAAACTTGTTTATCCTTGTTGTAATTGGCATGGTCAAGCACCCTCATTTTCTTGGGACGGTACAGGTTTACACCTATTGTCCCAGCGTCACCTTCACTCCCAGCCTGTTCTGTTTTGGTGGAGCAATTCCGCGGTCACTCCAGCTGTGATGGACACAAGGCTGCTGTCCTTGAACTCAGACAGACCTGGCCTCCCACCCAGCATCTGCCCCTCCCTAGCCACATCTCACCTAGAGTGTGACTAGAATACTGAGATTACTTCAGAAAACAACACAAAACCAGAGGAATCAAATGGAATAAGAGAAAAAAAAAAGCCTAAGCAGTTTTTTTTGGGGGGTAGGGGGTTCTTGGGGTTTTTTTGTTTGTTTGTTTGGCAACAATGAAAAGCCCACACATTTCCAGTGAGTACCTTTCTCCCACAGCGTACCGTGGCCACTATGAGCGGACACTCCAGGCACATGTGTTCCGCCACCCCAACACTTTCAGAGCGCGCCACAGGAAATGCTGAATAAATGTTTGCATAGCGAAAATAGCTGCCATTTCTCAAGCTCCTGCCCTGTGCTGGACAGCTGACAGAGCAAACCCTCCCACAGCCCTCGCTGAGACAGGTACTCCTCCATCCCTCAGAGGAGGAATCTGTGGGCATCAGGAGAGGAGAGTCTGGTCTGTTCAAAGAGCAGCCTGTCCACGGTGCGAGAGAGCACGAGCGACTGCCGGCAGAACCGGGACTGGAGGTTAATCCTGTCTGGCTCCGAGCAAACTTGTTTTCTCCCCTCTACCACGGACTCTCTCTGCCCAGAGATACTGAAAGAACACTTATATCAGCATGTATCAGAAGTGGACGGGCAGAGAAAGGGCCCAGACACATCACGTAGATAAACGCAGATTACACCAATCACGTGACTTCAACAACCCCCCCCCAGCACCCTCGCAGTTCAGTTTAAATTTCTCTTTTGGATCTTCGCAGTTCTCCAAATCACAGAATCATCTGGATCTGAGAACAGCTGAAGGGTCACTGGTGTGTTCATCAACTAATTCCAAATTGACACCCGAGTTCATGGGCAAACCGATTTCCATTTGCTCAGTAAAAACAAGCAGGTCCCCCTGCACGGTTTCACACGCATCTGCCTCCATGAAGGCATGACGCTGTAACCCTGGCTAAATTCTGCTGATACCCGGGATCTGACACTTAAAAATAAAGTTAAAAAATACAAATCTTTACATTCAAAAAAAGCAAAGAATCATAGACTATAAAAACTGGAAGACTACTCAGTCCAAGCTTCCACCCTGATTTTAGAAGCGAGGATGATAAAGTCCAAAGAAAAATAACAATCTCCGCAAGGTTCCCTAACCATCTAATGATCTGATCAATACTCACCGAATTTTGGAAAGCAAATAAAATAAAGAAAATTTTGAGAACTTAAGGAAGTTCTAAGGACTTAATTTCAAAATATGCACCGTCATGAGCAAAAACGTTCAGTACTTAGCTGAAGGAAGACAGGAGAGACCCGCGGTGCGCCTGGGCCGCAGACCCCCCCCCGCAGGGCCACGCGGACCGGACGCGGCTGAACACCCAGCTCCGCGCTGCCTTGTTTTCACGCCAACTCCAGACAGTGCGCGTCTGGCTCTCTCTCCTATCCTGCCGATCTCTGCTTGCCTGCTCCTTCTTCCCTTAGGTGGTAAATAAAAATGTTTTCCGAAAATGTATCTATATTAACCATTTTTAAACGCTCGGCATTGAACGTCTATATTCAGGAGAAAAGTTCAAAGGGCCTTTTGAGGGCCCAATTTCCGAGGATCTGTCACTGTGCCATCATGGAAAATGCTGAGGGGCAGAGAGAGTGGCGCCAGTGTTTACAAAGGTGCCGGCGCTGTCCTACTTTCGCACGCCAGCACCTGGGAGCGGAGTGGCCGACCACAGCGCTCAAAAATAGGCTTTTCAGCAGAGAATGCCACTGAGGAAAGGCGCCCGTCTTTTAATAAGCGAGGCTATGTTGGTAGTCTAAACAAGGTTTCTCTTAGGTCTAACAGACCAGGAGAAAGTAGGTTTCATGTGAACATAACAGGTACAAATAAAAGCTCCCCATTTATCACCGAAGCGCATTAACATGCAACTAGGACCACAGCAGTGATAATTCTTGAAGCTTCCAGTTTTAAATTCAGGGAGCTAGCTGGAAACCCATGTTGACTACTGCAGAATAACTGTTATCCATAATGCTTTAACTGGGTAATGTAAAGGTTTTTCATACGGGCTATATTCACAATGTACACTATCGCGTCTCTCTTTCTTTCGAAGCTAACTTCTAAGTAGTCTGCACTTAAACTTCAAGAACACTATCTCATTGTTCAGTATGTCTGAAGAACTTCCCCTGACACCTTGGGTATTTACCAATTTCAACAAATACTTCTTGACCTACTTATTAAGCTAAGAATACAAGCTAAGCCTCTTTCCTTTCGAGACTTCAGCCTCGGGCTCCAGAGGCGCCCAGGGAGATCACGGCGGAGATGCCGCAGGAGGCCTTCCACGAGCGGAAAACCCCCAAGGGCTGCTAGCTACTCGCAGTGACCGCGGTCCTCGCTTGGGACTGCTCACGGAGCGCGGGAAGTGATTCATTCACGCAGGTTTGCCTAATAGCAAACACCCAATGAGACTGATTATATTTGCAGGTTCTACAGCCGAAGAGTACAACATTAGTTAAGGAAACTAGCGGCTTATTAATTTTGTCATACCCACTGTATAACCAAAGTTCAAGATCAGGGCCCCCGTGCTGAGAAACACTGGGAGTCAGTACAGACAAGAATAACAGCGTTTGGCATTTTTCAAAAGCAGAAAATTATTAAAAGAGGTAGGACAGGAATACCCTAGGCTCCCTTCACGTCGCCATGGGAACCACAAATCAAAAGGCAAAACTGGTTGCAGGCGACTTGTCTTCTGATTGGCTGGCTTGAAGAAGAACTCACAAAAGCTAACTTTGGTCTGTTTCTAGATGGGATTGTTCTGAATATTCTGCCCTGATTCCTTCTCAAAGAGGCAATTCTTTTAAACGTTACCCAAAGAGGTATTTTATATAGACTGTCTCTATCACTCTGATTTAGAAATATGTCTTATTATAGGTTTTCTTTCCCTAAATCCCATTTTTTAATTTAAACCACTTCCCACAGAATCCATCAGCACCAGCCTCGTCTAACTCCTGTCATCAATGCCTGAGACAACCAAATGGAATGGCTTAAATGCTATTCCTTCAACAAAAAATTTACCTGGACCTCTATCTGTCTGCAGGCAGAAAAGTAAGACAGTCTTCCCCATTCTCTGTCTTGTCTAGCTCATGGGAGGGAATCTCGAGAATGTGCAGTATAAACACACACACACATGCAGGCATGCACACACACAGACTTAACCACCCAAAGGAGGAGGGTGCCTGAACTAAGCCATAGAGGATGAGCAGGAGGCAACCAGGGGAAAAGGCGAGCGAGACATTCCAGGCAGAACACATAGCATCAGCAAAGCCAAAGAGCTAAGAAATGGTGCAACCTAGTCAAGGCTGCACACAGAATTTAGCATCGCTAAGGCATTTAAAGGGGAGATTTTATTAACGTGTACAAGACTTTCCCCTGCAATTCAGCAGACGTGCTGTTTCAACACTATCCATCACAGGGAAGGAGGGGTCCTGCACACCCTGGCAAGGGCGGAGGCGCGGCTCTTTGGCTAAGACGCAGGGAGGAGAGCTTACTATCGAGCCCAAACCCTGCCAAGTCAAGCCAGCACCGAAGAAAGATGCCGTGTTTCCTTGGACACGTGGGGAACACCCGCCACAGGCCAGGCAGAGGGAAAAGAAGTCTGCTCAACAGTAACCCAACAATACAGCGAGGGAGTAAGTGGTACAAAACCATGTATTTTTAGAGATAT